GAAACGCTCTACCCAGTTTTTCAAAATAAGACCTTACACTGGAAGTGATCGTAAAAATGGTTTGATACAAACCGTTCGTTTTTGAACCAAAAAATGCTGGCGTACAAAATTTCGTCAAAATATTTCGAAAGTTGCGGCGTGTAGGTTCAAAAGAAGAAAACAAGCCGGACTGATGGATAGACGGGCAAACAAGGTTAGATCGGCCCAGAAGGTGACTGAATCGATCGACATTATTGCACCGGTAACATTATAATACATACTGCATATATTTATATACATATATTATATAATAGAATTCAATTCATTAGTCTAAAATTAAAATAATAATAATAATAATAATAATAATTATATAATACATATATATATATATATTATATAATACATATATATATATTATATAATACATATATATATATATATATATTTTATTAAAGGTGGCCTTATCTAACCTTCTGGGTGTTGTACATTTCGGGACAAAATTGATGAACCCTTACACACAAGAATACAATAACAATTTAGATATTATTATTATTATTATTATTTTAATTTTAGACTAATGAATTGAATTCTTAGACTAAAAAAAAGACTTTGAGCACTAGCAACACAGGCTATCGGCTCTAATTTAGATAACATTACATATTTCTAAAGAATAATATGTTCTACTCTTTCAAACATAATTCCTAAAAATAAATCGACTTTAGTTTCTCTTTTCAAAAACGCTTTAAAATACGATTGTGCAAGTTTTTAGAAAAATTGCCTTTTACTCCCCTAACAACGTATAAGATACTTTCAGGGTTCAAAAAAGATACTGAAATATATAAGGTTTTTATCCAACATATTGCAAAGTTGTGAAGGCATAAAGCTAATGCGCGGTTAAAGTTCTCATACCTACGAACTGCAACTAAGTGTAAGTATATTAGCATTAGTGACTATTGTGTGCACTGCGCTTATAACCCACAAATTCCAGCAAATGATAGCTTTTCAATACTCATAGCATAGCATCGATAAATAACTTTCATGTAACATATATACTTGGGGTGGATTTCAAAAATGTGCATATACATGTATATGCTTCTAAGTATGTCTGCATGTGTACGTTCGTATGAATAAACGTGCATTGTCATATCTCGATATATGAATTTTCTTTAACGCAACTCTATTTTAGCGTTCCTCGTTAAGGTAAATATATAAAATATGTAAAGTCTGCGAAGAGAGCCGTGTATGCGAGAGTTTTTTTGCCTGGCAATATCCAATAAGGAACTTTTTGAGTTTTCAACTTTTAAATCTAGCTAAATCTCAAATCCATTAAATCTTTATTAACCCCTTTGATTTTTTTCGAGTTATAATTAAAATTGCTTGTACCTTATAACTTATATATCAAAGAAATTTTTGTAGTACGCAGCGGTATAGTGCATCTTTGTTCTGTGGCAACGATTCATAAAATGTAACGATACACTTCTATTAGTTTGTCTTTGTTAGCCACCGGAGTGGGCGCGTACGCAAAGATCTAACAACTCAACGGTCGTGGATTCAAATCTCAAGTGTGATAAAGTTTTCAATAAACACGATAGCCGTAATTGCTTTTACTTTAAAACTTTAGTCATAAAATTTATTTTTATGGCAAAGTTAGTTAAAATAATAATAATATTTTCCTTTATTAAATAGTCACAATGATATTAATGAATTTGTTATGTTTCAATTAATATGTTATGTTTATCACGTATGTTTGCGGAATAATTCATTTATAATTAGCTAAACTAAAGACAATAGTGATTTAAGCAAAGTTCAAAAGCTCTCCTTATTGAACTAAATCTAATTTGTTTCATTTGCAAACCAGTAGTGGTTTGTTAATGTTAATGGCCAAAGTGGCTGACACAATGAACGTCTTTTCCGTTTTGAAGAGCCAAGTGGTGAACACAACGGTAATCGTATTGTTTTACAGGAAAACGTAAACAAAAACATATTTTCTTAGAACCAAAAATAAAGATATCGATTTAAACATAAGCAACAAGTTTTTTAATCTGCATTTGGACCAAGTTTGTTGTTAACTAATTCATAACTTGGAAATTACCGTCTACGATTCTCTAATAGAACACTCTGAACTTTTAAATAAATGGCTTGTATTCCATTTCTTGCAAAATAGGGCATGCCATAAACCAAAATAGCAAAATTCATAACATAAAAGAAATGTACATTAGTACAAAATAAACATAAATAACTTTTAGATTTAAAAGAAGTGATCGTCATTTCTTCTTGTGCTTTGTTTTCTTTTTGCTTTAATTGTATGTACATACGCAAAACCATATGATTTATCGATCCCCATAAAGTTCTGTAAAAAGTCGACAAGGTTCGAGTTCCAACCCGATAATAGGAATAACGCCTCGTTCAGTCAGTCCGCTATAATTGGCTGTTGTAAAGAGGTAAGTTAATATGCCTGAAAAAGTAAATATATGTAAAAACAGCATTAATGTGACAGTAATTAATTTTATCTGTCTTTTATAGAATCAATAATAATTAATCATAATCATTTTTCCTAATATTTTTTTTCCATTTACTTTTCCTAATTTAATCGAATTTTTTGCTAATTTTGATTTAGCAAATTAGCGCTTACGTGAATTGAATGAACATTTTAATTGTTTGTACAGTATCTTTTGCAGTGGTTGTGTATATAAAAATGAAGGCACAAAGTTTTTATCATACAGCTTAAATGCTGTATTACAATATTTAATCGATTAGGTTCAGAAGTATCCATGTAGAAAGTGTACCTGCATTTGTGATTTTTTATTTCTTTTTATTATTTTTGGTCCATTATATATAATATATTTTACTATGTATACAAAAAAAGGGGGGAAAATAATCCTATTTGTTCCTACATTCGACAAATTCTGTTCTCCATAAAATATCAATCGTGCTAATTAATGACGGGTCCATCGGCCGACTGTTTGGTATGCGGAGGCAAAGATACGTTGTTGCTTAAAGATATTCGGTTGTCCTGAAGGCTTATATATGAAGTTAAAGTTGGGAATTCTAACATTAGCAGACATCATATTTTAAGTTTATCATTGCAACATGGTGGTCTTTGTTAGTATAAAGTTTTGAATTAATTAGTGTGTCTGTCAGATCGAACCATGCGTGGGATGCGAAGCTGGAACTAAAAAAATTTACACCAAAAAAACCTATAACAAAATACTTACACCAAAAAAACTTGGGAGTTACGGCCGATGATTGTCTAAGCTAGGAACTAGGATTGTGTAAGGATTAAGTAGGTTTATATATCTATAATTAGAATGCTGATTTGTATATTACTTTTTATATTACAATTATCATACCTAGCGGGGCTTTCTACACTAATCGCCATCTGTTTTGGCGTTTTTGTCAGTTTATCTAACTCGTCACAGCCTAAAAATAGTCGTAATCCCTCTTAATCCGTATTTTTCCGTCTGCTATTATTTGTTGCGTCATTCTGTCCACTGCGTGTGTCAATCCTAATCTTAATTCAAGTACGTGCGACCGCCCCCCTTCGACCTATGTAACCGTGTTAGGCTCGTTTTAACTGAATCTAATTTGAATCTAACATCGTCTACGGTTATACCGTGATTTGCCTTTTTAGAAGGTATAACCTGCTTTCTTCCATAGTGCCCCGAAAGTAAAATATGCAAATGAAGCAATTATATTCGCCTTTGGGCAAATCTCGGGTATCCACTACCACTTTCGGTAGTAAATTTTCCTTTGAAATCTTTCGAAATATAGAATTCAAAGAATCGTTCAATTGCCTCCTTTAAAGTCTCTTGATTAACATCGCCTCTAAAAGGATCCTCATTAAAAGGTACATTTGTAATGTTTCTAATATCAGTCTTTGTACACATCCTACGCCATAACTGGCGTTCACCAGTTCACCAGTGCCTTCCTTTTCCCAGACTGTCGACTACCAGGTGGAGATTGCATTTTATTATTTAGTTGGTTTAAATTGAATGCACTTTCTGATTTGACTTTGTGTTACATTAGAAATCTATCTCTACCGTGTATAACAATTTTCGCAAGACAACTCTAATGGAGCAATACCCCATTCTATCCGCCCAGCGTGTGTTTTAGTTAATTAGCTCTCATTTTAAAGTCGTTCTATGAGAACCAAGCCGTTTGTGTTAATAAATAAACATTAATCGATGTACATACGTCGTGTAGCAATCGCAGTGCTTTTCTAAACTCCTATTCTTAAAAGCCAATGAAAAATCGAAAACTCCAATCAAGACTTAAAAAAATATATACCCAAAGATTTAACTCAGGAAGATGGGAATTTCAATATTGTCTCTTCTTTACACAAGACGTATTCTGAAAGAATGTTACCATTTCGAATTAAAGGAAAATTTCAGACGGATAGAGGAATAAAGCGAACAGAATTTAAGAAGGGAGAAAAATATAAATTTACTCAAAGAACGAGAAAGACGTTACCTTTAGTTTACACCGAGTATTACAATAGTTACCGCTATTTTATCGCAAAGATGAAAAATTCGAAGCATAATGCGGAGAAAACCATTTGCTCGATATACAAAATATATTGTAGAGTATTCATCGCAAACAGTTCGTCCATAAAAGTTGACACGCCGTAAGTAGTTATACAAATTAAGGGGCTCATTCAAATACTTTGCTTGACTATTATAGACAATATAGACCGATTTGTTATACATAGATTAAAAAAAAGGTAACATTCCAAATCTGTTTTTACACAAATTTGTAAACAGGTTATCATTATCTGACATGGCAAGTCGATTTGTTAAACGTTTGCTGGTGTGTAGCAACTTCCTAGACATTACGATTTGTGAAGTCAGCTTAACGCTTCCAAACGTTCTCTTAAAAGAATTCACCGAACAGATTTTAGTTTGGATAGAACTAACGAAAATTGGCAGATTTTCGGTCGAAGCATTCGTAGAGAACATCACTTCCACCTATGATGAAATTTTAAAAGTAATTATATATGAGTAAAAATTTTCTAGGCTAATAGATACATTTTCCATTTTTATTAAATGTATTTTATGTATTTCGTAAAAGGTTGGAAAAATTAAATTAATGTAAGATATACTGTGAACTTATATAAACAAGAACACTAAGAAAAAGAAAAAAAAATACTGAGTAAGCTACAACTTGTACGAAAAGAAAACATGTCGGAGACGATGACCTTAAAAGTATATAGAGATTGAGACTTAAATGTACTATAAAATGATGATTTGTCTTGATTAAAAAATATGTTGATGGACGACGATAATGATTAATAACTTAAAAGTGAATTTGCCGTTGAATAAAAAAGGCCACGGCGAAGCAATTGAATTGTAAGGATTTGATATTGCTTCCATACAATAAATGCAATTAAAGGCGACCTACGGTACAGAAAATAAGAATTTCAATTGCTTTTCTAATATGAGTTGTATTTCTCGATGTTCCTGGTTAGTAACTTTTTCCAATTTCTAGTCATCGATAGCGTATTGCGGCATTTTCTCATATTTCACTTTGGTACCGTCATGATCAGTATTGATAAGGATTATTGTATGTGAGTAGCCCATGGTAACTTGAGGTATTTTCATGTTATCCATTTTGGGCACTTCCTTAGGAACTGTGGAAGACTTTTGAAATTCGCCTATGCCAAGTTCACCATAAGTGGGCGAGGCACCCCAACCAATCAAGGTATCATCAGCTGATATGACAATAGATGTGTTGGCACACCCAATATCCGTGATATTCCAACCTGACAAATCTTGCACAGGTTTCGGGTACATGTTAGCCTCACCGGTTTTTTTATTCTGACCGAACAAAAATAGCACGCCCAACTCATTAACTACCAAACTAAAGGTAGCACCGCAATAAACACTACGAGCACCACGTCCGTGAACATCAAAAAACTTAATCAACCGCGGTACCATTTCATCTTTAGGCTCAGCATGACCTAAACGACCAAAACCACCAAATCCCCAGCTGTAAACGCGTTTTTTTGAATCAATAGCCACCTGTAAATGTTGAATGTTATTGACAATATTTCCAAATACTCAATTTAATATTAGAGCACTTGCCGTGTGATTGTTGCCACAAGCAAAATCAACAATTTGTACATTATCCACTGGATTCACGTGCCCATCTTTGTTTTTTTCAATGTATAAAACCACCTTTTTCGGCGATGTCTCAAAATGGAATGACAACTTATTGGCATTTACAAAATATTTGGCATCTGTGTTGTGACCCAACTGCCCGTACTCAGGCAAACCAAAGGTATGCAAATTACCTTTAATATCCAAAATAACAGAGAATTCGGCTCCGCAACCTATGCGTACGATTGGAGGACCGCGATAATTGATAAGCGTTGGTACAGTGATGACAGGCGTAGTATTGCCAACGCCACATTGTCCCGATTTATTGTCGCCGCAAGCAAATACTGTGCCGGTATCCGTAAGAAAAAGAGAGTGATGGCGTCCGACCGCAGCTTGAACAATGTTTAACTTTTCCAATGTTGGTATAATGGTAGGTTTTTCACACAATTTTGTATCCGATAACCCTAACTGGCCAGATGGATTGCGACCAAAAGCCAAGGCCCGGCGATCCATATTAATCAGAATAGTATGGGCAGCTGCACAACCGCTGGCCGCGAAACGATACTACAAAATTTATAATTTCTTGAGATATAAATAATTGAAAAAATTTAACACTCACCTTTTCATCAGTGAAACGATGAAAGCTATACAAATTGGGACGAACTTTAACTACATTTTTCCGATCGCGTTTGCCAGTCAGGTCCCAAGTAACCATGCCGGAAATTAGCATGTGTCCGGGTGTTTTATCCATTGTGGCTAACAGATCATCAGGCAGTTTACTAGGTGGATCCATGTTATCATGAGGAATCAATACTTCAACTTGACTTGATGAGGTCTGCGCTTCCTCTTCGGATTCTTCACTAACCTCGTCTTCATAATCGGACTCCTTTTTTTTAGGTCGCCGTTTATTCGGACCATTGCCATTTCCACCTGCTTTACGTTTGGCTGACATTTTCTATGGAAATTAAACCAAAAACAAAGAAAACTCACAATATCGGCGTTTAATAAACGGAATACATCTATAAAGCGGCTGAAATAAGCAGACTCCTAGGAAAATTCACTTCTTCATGAAAAACAAAACAATAATAAACAACTATCTAATGTTTTGCAAACACGGCATAAAATGCTGTCAAAGAAATAAGCGACAAATGTGAATGATTTAGAAACTAAACGTAGTCACTTTTTGCAGCCACTCGTTTGTACGTGTATATGTAATTCCTGTAATTCATAAGCAGATGGCATGTTGTAAAATCATTACAGAATATTACAAGGAGTTTTGCAAAGAAGAAAGAATTAAAATAAGAGGCTAAGCAGGAAATAAAAATTTGCTTAAAGCTCTAATTTTCGTCACATTAATTTACTGGGCCGTAGACGAATTTAACATTTGACATTTCCCTTAAATTCATTATTGCAGTCCACCAAATACAAAATTTAGAAATACACTGTAGCGGCAAGTTGCTTGCCTAAATATCTAGCTTTAGCGTCGCTTGTATTGACGCCGCAAGCATCTTTTTGCCTTTGTTCAAAACATTCACGAAACGCTTGCTAAAACATGATAATAATTAGTAGACACTTACAACTGACTGCTTTGATCGGTAAGAGTTACGAAAATTTAAAAATTATATACTTATAAAGAATATTTGAAAAACTTAAAATGATAACACACAAACAGACCCACCACCTTTTTTCCTTAAACCGCGGCAACTGGATAGCATTAGAATAGAGTTGCATCAGCTATAAAATGAATGATATTATGCTTCTTAGTATAGGGTTACCCAATTTTACTATGGATTACTAATTCACGTTTACTAAACGAATCATTATAAAATCTATTTATATAGCACGACTCCTTTTGGGTTTGAATATAAATAACAATAATCGAATATTAAAACGTAAGCTGATTTCACATCTGACATTATTTGTTTTTCTTTTCTAGGTAGCTATTGAACGAACTATATTTTTTTTTATTTATAAAAGAAGAACGGATTTGGCATGTTAACGATAAGACCTACATACCCAGTAACGTTATTAGTTTTTAACATAATATCTTCTTGAGGACTTGAGTTTAGTAACCGCAATAAAGATGATAACAGAGAAAAAAGATGATGCAGATCAGGTGGTGATTATAATTGATTTATTGATGATACAATGGCATTAATTATAATAAGAAGCGGTTAGTTAAAATTATTCATTAATAAAATTAATTTTTAATAATAAAGAGCCCATTCAATACGGTCTATTCTGAAGTTTAGTTCAGGAGATTGATATAAAGTTATGGCTTTATGGGAGTAATTGATTTATGGAATTATAAACATATTTGGCGATACTATTACACAAAACAAAAAGTTCAATTTTAATTATGACAACTTGAAAGGGGAAGTCAACAGTTTTAACAAAAACAGTTAACTGCTTAAGTTGGGTTTCATTGCGAACAGGAATATCCACTGGCTTGCCTGTCTTACATGATATTATTTCGAATTAGATCATAATATCGAAGTCGAGCTTCACGAGCATAAAGATCAGCATTGTCATTTGATTGAAGGCCGCAATGACCTAGAAATCAGACTAGATGGCATGTATCTACCCCAGAAACAGTTAACATAATATGGATTTCGAATACGTACATAATGCGAGGACCTTTTTAAATAGGGTAAGTGGTGATCTGCTGTCAAAAAAACCACGAATTTTTTGATACCTTTTGATATTTATTTATTTATTTATTTATTTTATTTATTCCACTTATACTAGAAACTCAACTAAACAAATAACAGTCGAGTTCAATTGGCTCTTAATGCAAAACTTATATTAATTAACAATAAAATTGAGTATAAGCATAATAAAACAAATAAGAAAAAAAAAAAAAGGGAAAAAAAAACCATGTACACTATCAGCATAGGAGCACACTTACAACCGGTACAGGACCAAATTGCAAATGAACCCCTAAGCCATCGCATTCATGCATAAGCCTAGCAACCGATAATAAATTGACAATAATTCACTTTCGAAACGTAACGACTTTTTAAGGATAAAAGCTAGTTTAAATGCGACA